CGTTTTGTGAATGCTCAGAAAATCATATGAATAGACATGATTTTTACATTTCAAACAATGGTGTGAAGTTTGGAATAACCGTAAAATCATGGTCAATGGTTAAGGTACATACTTAGTAGCTTTTCTATATAATTATTTATATTCAGTTAAATACAAATTTCATTCTAGACATGATATGTTATACGTAATATAACAAATAAAATTTATATTTTCTTTAAATACATTAAATTACAATTTAACAGATCAAATGTGAAGATAATAATTGGAACGATTTTACTTTTATGAGAATACCAAAAAGCAATGAAGTCGATTTAGTGAAGTTTAAAAATTGTTCACTACCAGAGGAAACTTCATTAAAAAATATTGCACTAAAATTAGGAATAATTGAAAAGAATAGACTAAGCTTTCAGTCTTATAAAAATCTAAGCAAAACTCTAAAGAAGAATCATTTTCGAGGATTTTTAAATGTGACAAAATTAATTTTATCCCATAACGGTTTAACTAATATATCATCTGATTTCTTTAGAAATTTTCGTACTTTGAGATTCCTTGATTTGTCTGAAAATTCTCTAGTTTTAAGCAAAGATACTTTTAATGAAACTTGGAATCTTGATAAACTGTATTTACATGGAAATGGATTAACAGAGCTTCCTCTTTATATATTTCATAAACTACTGCATTTAAGAGTTCTAATGCTTCAAAGAAATTCATTAAAGTATCTTTCTAAGCTATTATTTGAGAAACTAGAGTCCTTAGAATATTTAGACCTATCATCAAACTTGTTGTCTCGTTTTTCAAATTCAATTTTTAAATATGTATATCAATTAAGAATAATCGATTTCTCCAATAATTATTTCAATAGTCTTCCATCAGAATTGTTTCAAAATAATAAAAAATTAAAAAGATTATTATTTACCAATAATAAAGCATTATTACCAACATTGACGGGTGATCTTTTAACCGATTTAGAAAATCTTGAAATAATCCATTTAAAAAGAAATGGATTTACGAGTCTACCAGAAAATCTTTTCTGGGGTTCAACATCGTTAAAATACATCGATTTAAATGAGAATTATCTTGAAGAATTACCCGAATTAATCTTCTTTGATCTAGTAGAAATTGAATATCTCTTATTAAGTCGCAATCAGATTAAGATACTTCCCGATGAAGTTTTTAAATATCTTAAATATTTAGAAGTACTCGACTTGTCTTATAATCGTATCGTTTACGTTCAAAGGTAAATTATTCTACAATTAATACAAGATTCATATTCAATCTAATATTTGTACAACTGAGCATCCACCATTTTTTCTACAAATCTCGGAAGCAAAGTTGTACACACAATATTGTTCTTCAAATATAAATATTTTTTTAGAATTTTATTAGAAGGTTTGACATCGTTAAGAGAACTTTACATGGAAGGAAATAGATTGATAAATATTCATAATGAAGCATTTTTAACCAATGAACAACTATCTATTGCTAAGTTCTCATATAATCAGCTACAGTTTAGTTATTTTAATAACAAGATGTCACCTTTTCTTAATAATCATCTTCTTAAGGAATTGCATTTAGCGAACAATCGAATAAACAAATTTTTTTTCGATTGGACAATAAATAAAGTAGAGTTAGAATTCTTAGATTTGAGTTACAACAACATTAGTGTAATATCGGTAAATACTCACATTTTACTATTCATAAATACATTAAATATTATAATTGAAATGATTAAAAATAAATTTTTTTTATTTATATTTTTTCTTTTTCTTTTATAGGCAAATGACTTTGTTTTTACGTCGAACAAATTTGTAGTTGATCTAAGGCATAACAACATAAACAATATTTTACTAACTAATATCGAAAATTTGGCAATATATAATACTGAAAAACGTCATGTTATTGTTCAAGTCGAAAACAACTCGTTATCATGCGATTGCAGTTTATATGACGTTGTGCGTTATTTTAACGGTGATATGCCTGTTACTGTTTATAATTTCTTTGAACTTAGATTGGGAAACTTAACGTGTGTGAAACCCAATGGAATACAAGGGCCGCAAATTAATCAGTTGGATTTTAAAACCTACCAATGTCCCGAGGATGACTATTTTCAAATTGAGAAAAATTGTCAAACTATGTGTAGCTGTAATATACGACCGTATGACAAAATGCGTGTTTTAGATTGTTCGTACAATAAGATTTCTTTATTCTTTATCGACAAGAATAAAATGAATATGAAGGGAAATTATCCATTAACATTGAATCTTACAGGAAATAATTTAAGATTTATACCACCACTCAATGATTTAGAATCATTTAATTTAACACATTTATTGTTATCTAATAACAAGATTTCACACTTAGCAGTGTATAGATTACCAAAATCTATCGAAGTATGTAATTACCTTATTTTATTATTTTTTCTTTTCATTCATTTGAATTATTTCATAACTTTCTCTTTTATCTTCTTCTACATTTTTAGGTATTAGAATTACATAATAATCATCTATCAAGCATGAATCACGGAGTAAGTGAATTCTTGCTTAATCAAAATTACAAAGAATTAACTTTGAGCGGTAATCCATTTATATGTGATTGCGCTTCTAAATATTTACATGAATTAGTTTCGAAAAAGCAAAAATATTATAAAGATCTAAAAAATGTGAAATGTAAGGACCATAATATTCCTTTAGTTAAAATGACCGTTAAGCAATTGTGTCTATCTGATGTTCCACTTGAAAAAATCATCAAAATTATGGAATAAAATGAAACGTTCATAAAGGTTTAAGCGTTTTTAGCAGAAGACACACAATATAATTCGATCAGTGTTTTTAGTATTGTCAATTTTATAATTATATTTATAATCTTTTAATCATTATTTATATTACACTCTTATATTTAAATCAATGATGTTATGAACAACATTAACAGAGACTTTTATTCACATATCAGGATAATTTGCAAACTATTATATTTGTAATGTGGAGTAACATCTTTTAAATTAATAGAATAACACACATTAAAAAATACATTGCGAATATGTAAAAAAAAGAAAGAAATGTTTCTGCATATATAAATAAGAATGTATATATAAAATAATTTCGAAAGTGAAACTTAATATTTCTGAAAATCATATATCCTAAATACTATATCAAATAGTATATAATTTTAATTTATTGAAATTAATTAATTAAATTTATTGACTTTTAAATATCATTTCAATTAAATTATGGTACTAATAAAATATATTTTTTTCTTCTTTAAAATATTATCTCTGGCAGAATAAAATATTTATTATTAAAAACTTAAATACTTTTAAATAATTCAAATATTTTATTCTAAAAAGTAATATTTTTTAAAGAAATAAAATATATTATTTATTGCAATACCAATGGTAGAAAATATAAAATATATATTTTCAGAAGTATAACTTTGTGAACATATAAAATATATAATTTATAAAAATAAATGTATGACATGAATCAAATAATCTATTTGCTATTTATTATGTAAACCAGCATGTTAAGTAGCTATGAACTTTATTATTTTTTTTATAACTTATATTATATGTTACATTTATTTTTATTTTGTCGAAAATTAGTATGTATTATAAAAAAGATATTAATTGCGTTAATGCCATTAGATCATTGATTTACTTTGAAAACTACTCATTTCACAATATTTATATTTTGCATTTTATTTTATATGTGTGAAAGTGATAGCAATATATTATTTGTATACAGTGTATGTTGTTCTGATTTAAATATATATGAATTTTAAATAAAAAGTTGTTTACAATTTTCTAACCAATCAACAGTGATATTAACTAACACATAAAGTCGTTCTATTTTGTAATATTGTTAGTGTTGACAAAGAAATAAGTACGTGTTTGCAAAATCGTTACTTTGACTTAATATTTTGAATTGATAAGAACAAATTTAACTGTGTATGTTTCTTAACATTTCAAAAGTAAGGTAAGGTACATAAAAACGTGCAAAGATAAAAGAAACAAGAATTAAAAGAGTTACAAGATTAATCTTCAATTTTTTTTTTGCAGTGGACTGGAAACAAACAATGGCTACGATCATTTTCATGGTACTTTTTCTTAGCTTTACAAATATTTTCGCTGATAATCCTGAATGCGAGAAAGAATCGTTTTGTGAATGCTCGAATAATGCAAACAATACACATGCTTATTACATTTCAAACAAAGGTGTGAAGTTTGGAGTAAATGTAATATCATGGTCAAATATTCAGGTACATACTTAGTAGCTTTTCTCAATTTATTTATATTCAGTTAAATACAAATTTCATTCTAGATATTATATGTTATACGTAATTTAATAAATCAAATGTATATTATCTTTAAATACATAAAATTACAATTCAACAGATCGAGTGTGAAAATATTAGTTGGAATGATTTTAATCTTACGCAAATAAAACACATTGGAATTCTCGATTCGATAGAGTTTAAAAACTGCACATTACCAGAGGAAACTAGATTACAATATATTGTCAGAAAATTCGGAATTAAAGAAACAATTGGACTAGGCTTTCAATCTTATAGAAATCTAAGCAATACTTTAAAAAAGAATCATTTTCTAGGATTTTCAAATGTGACCAAATTAGTTTTATCCCATAACGGTTTAACTAATATATCATCTGATTTCTTTACAAATTTTCCTAAATTGAGATCCCTTGATTTGTCTGAAAATTTTCTTGTTATAAGCAACGATACTTTTAAGGAAACTTTAAACCTTAAGAAACTTGATTTAAATGGAAATGGAATAAAAGAGCTTCCTGATAAATTATTCTATAATCTAAAGCATTTAGAAACTCTAAATCTTCAAAGAAATTTATTGAAAAACCTTGATGAGAACATATTTAACAAATTATCATCATTAAAACATTTAAACCTATCATCAAATTCGTTGTCAGATTTACAGCAAATAATTTTTTATAAATTAAAGAAATTAGAAACAATTGATTTGTCAAATAATAATTTTAGTATTCTTTCATCGGTATTGTTTATTCAAAATAAAAAATTGAAAAAAGTAGTCATTAGCGATAATAAATCAAAATTAACAACATTGCCGGAAGCATTTTTAAAGGATTTAGAAAATCTTGAAGAAATTTATTTAAATAACAATAAATTATCTCATCTACCAGAACACATTTTCTGGGATTCAAAATCGTTAAAATGCATCGATTTGAGTGATAATAGTTTTGGATCAATACCCGAATTTATCTTTCTAAATTTAAAAAATCTTGAATATCTTTCATTAAGAAACAATCGAATTCAGATAATTCCTAATTTAATTTTTAAATTTGTGAAAAATTTAAAAACAGTCGACTTGTCCTTTAATCGTATTCATCTAGTACAAAGGTAGATTATTATCAAATTTATAAAAGATTTATTTTCAATCCAATAGATGTATAACTAAATTATCGCCATTTTCTCAACAAATCACCTGTATAAAAATCGCGAAAGCAAACTTGTACAACTAATATTGTTTTTCAAATATAAATATTTTTTAGAATTGCGTTTGATGGCTTGACATCGTTGAGAGAACTTAACATGGAAGGAAATAACCTAAAATTTATCGATGTTGCTGCATTCTCTACCAATAAACAACTATCCATTGCAAAGTTTTCAAATAATCGTCTAGATTTTAATTTATCAAACAAAACTACGTCACCTTTTTATAGTAATCGTCATCTTAAGGAATTGCATTTATCGAACAATACAATTAAACATTTTTATTCTGATTGGACAATAAATAAAGCAGAGTTAGAATTATTAGATCTGAGTCACAACAACATAAGTCTAATATCGGTAAATATCAAATTTTATTATCCATATATATATACCAGGGCTGCCCAGCCATGTGTTGCTGTTGCTCACAATCAGTCCGATAGACACGTCTTTAAGTCATAATTCGCAATAAAATAATATGACGATTATAAATTGAGATATTAACTATCCTATCTTTCAAGTTGGATGAAATTGCACACAGTATGCAAAATTTGATTAAAATCGGTTCAATAGTTTAGGAGTCCATTGCAAACAAACAACGTATAACACGTAATTTATATATATATCAAGAAAGATATATATGTATACATTAAATATTATAATTGAAATGAATAAAAATGAATTTATTTTAATTATATTTTTTGTTTTTTTCTTTTATAGGCGAATGACTATTTTTTTTCGTCGAACAAATTAGTAGTCGATCTGAGGCATAACAACATAAACAAAATTGTGCTCAATGATATTATAGAATTAACAACATATCATACCGAGAAACGTCACGTTGTTGTTCACGTTGATCACAATCCGTTATTATGCGATTGTAATTTATATCATCTTTTGCGTTATTCTAACGGTGATATGCCCATTACTGTTTATAATTTTTTGGAACTTAGATTGGGAAACGTTACATGCGTGAAACCTAATGGAACACAAGGGCCACAAATAAATCAGCTGGATTTAAAAAAATACCAATGTCCAGAAGATGAATACTTTAAAACTAAAACAATGTGTCACACTAGATGTACTTGTAATGTACGACCGTATGATAAAACGCGAGTTTTAGATTGTTCGTACAATAAGCTTATTTTATTCAGAGCCGACAGCAATAACGTTATTTTGGATGGAAGCTTTCCAATAATATTGAATTTCACTGGAAATCATTTAACGCTAATACCATCATTCGATGAATTTAAACATATGAATATAACACAATTATTGTTATCTAATAACAAAATTTATAAAGTATCACTGAATAAAATACCAAAAAATATGCAAGTATGTAAACAACTTATTTTATCATTTTTTCTTTACATTTATTTAAGTTATTATTACGTAATTTTTTCTTTTATCTTCTTTTACGTTTCTAGGTATTAGAATTACATAATAATCATCTATTAAACTTGAATTACGACGTAAGTGAATACTTGTTTAATCAAAATTACAAAAAATTAACTTTGAGCGGGAATCCATTTATATGTGATTGCGATTCAAGATTTTTATTTTTATTAGTTATAAAAAAGCAAGATACTTATAAAGATCTAAAATATGTGCAATGTAAAGACCATAATATTCCTTTAGTTGATATGACCGTTGATCAATTGTGTCCATCCAATGTTCCGCCTCATAAATTCGTCATGAATGTGGAATAAAATGAAATGAACATACAGGTTTGGGCGTTTTTAGAAGAAGACATTTTTATTTCATTGCAATCAAGTTTATATTGTTTTAGAAAACATATAAAAACAATATAATCCGATCAGTGTTTTTAGTATTGTCAATTTTATAATTATATTTATATTCTTTTAATCATTATTTATATTACAATTTTATATTTAAATCAATGATGTTATGAACAACATTAGCAGAGACATTTATTCACATATCAGGATAATTTGCAAACTATTATATTTGTAATGTGGAGTAACATCTTTCAAAGTAAAAGAAGAATGCACATTAAAATAATTTGCGAATACAAAAAAAAAACAATGCTGTTTTGTATAAAATAATAAGTATAGATAAGAATTATTCAGGAAGTGTTAGTTAATATTTCGGAAAATAATATATCTCAAATACTATACCAAATAGCAGTTTGATTTAGGGAATTTAATTAATTAAAATTATTAAATTTTAAATATTATTTTAATTAAATGATGTTACTAATGAAATATATTTTTTTCTTCAAAATATTATCTCTGGCAGAATAAAATATTTATTATTCAAAACTTA